CAGGGATCTGCACCTCATGGGGTCCCAGCATTGAGAGAAGTCTTAAGTCTCCATCACTAACCTAGACGCTATCTCCAACTCATAACCATTCACAAATGGATTAAACTTATTTTGAACATGTAAACAGAGAACATTTACATGGAAGTTCACAGTGCAGGATTTCTTTCCACAACCTGAGAGGCTAAAACTTCTATATGGAAGTCCTCAAATACATTCTTCATACAGTTAATTAGATACTGTCTCATCTTCCCCCTAGGAGAGAAATTTTAAATCATGTAAGTGAAAAATCTCAGTTCTGAATTTTCTTATGATTTTCCAAATGATGCCACATAGTTAAAAAATATTTGAGGAACAGAATTTTTCTCTGTTTAAATGCCTGAACAGATTCATTTTTAAGTTATTTTCTTTTTCTACACTGAATTTTGCTAGTATGAGATTTTAATTTTGCTAAAGAAGTAACATATGTTTATGGTTTTATTTTTAATTTTTTTTTTACAGTTTTTCTAGTAACCCCCATTCTCTGTCACTCTCACACACACACAACCCCCCATCCCACACCACACCACACCACACCACACAAGTGTCTTTGTCTGTATATGGGAGAAAACATGATTTTTTTTCTTAACATAATGATTTTCATTTGCATCTGTTTTCCCTACAAATGTTATGATTCCATTTTTTTAGAACTGCGTAAAATTTATTTGTATATATATACCATATTTAAGTTTACAGTTTTTTTCTATTTTATTTTACATTTAAACTCATACTTTTTTTTTTTTTTTTTTGAAAATAGATTTCCCCCTACATAATATACTGATCATGGTTCCCTCTCTGTACTTACCCATTCCCTTCCCATCTTTCCTCCCATCCAGGTCTATCCCTTTACAGTCTCTATTTGAAAATAAACAGGCTTCTAAGTGGTAATAAACTGTAAAAGGATAAAACAAAAACTAACACATTGGAATAGGACAAAACAAACAGAAGAAAAAGTGCTGAGAAAATGGACAAGAACAGAACACCAACAGCACAGGCTCTAAGAGCAACAATCAATAAATGGGACCTCAAGAAACTGAAAAACTTCTGTAAAGCAAAAGACACTGTTGTCAGAACAAAACGACAGCCTACAGACTGGGAAAGGATCTTCACCAACCCTACATCTGACAAAGGGCTAATATCCAGTATATATAAAGAATTCAAGAAGTTAAAAAACAACAAATCAGGTAATCCAATTAAAAAATGGGGCACGGAGTTAAACAGAGAACTCTCTGGAGAGGATGGTAGAATGGCAGAAAAACACTTAAAGAAATGCTTACCGTCCTGAGCCATCAGAGAGATGCAAATCAAAACGACCTTGAGATTTTACCTTACACCCATCAGAATGGCTAAGATCAAAAACTCAAGTGACAGCACATGCTGGAGAGGTTGTGGAGAAAGGGGAACCCTCCACCATTGCTGGTGGGAATGCAAACTTGTACAACCACTTTGGAAATCAATCTGGCACTTTCTCAGACAATTAGAAATAGTGATTACTCAAGATCCAGCTCTACCACTCCTAGGCATATATCCAAAATATGCTCAAGTACACAACAAGGACATTTGCTCAACCATGTTTGTAGTAATAATTAATTCAATAATTCAATAATTATTGAATATTCAATAATTCAATAATTAATTCGTAATAGCCAGAACCTGGAAACAACCCAGAAATTGTGGTACTTTTACACAGTGGAATACTACTCAGCAATTAAAAACAAGGAAATCATGAAATTTGCATGCAAATGGTGGGATCTAGAAAAGATCATCCTGAGTGAGGTATCTCAGAAGCAGAAAGACACATGATATCTACTCACTTATAAGTGGACTAGACCTATAAGATAGGATAAACATACTAAAATCTGTACACCTAAAGAAGATAAACAAGAAAGAGGACCCTGGGTAAGATGATCAATCATTACTTAGAAAGACAAATGGGATAGACATTGGAAGTAGAAGAAAACAAGTAACAGGACAGGAGCCTACCATAGAGGGCCTCTGAAAGACTCTAGAAGTGTATCAAAGCAGATGCTTTCATATGATTCCCTGCACACTTGGGCAGAGTGCGGGGAATCATATGAAAGAAGGAAGAATTAGTAAGACCTGGAGAGGACAGGAATGCCACAAGGACCAAATATATCTGGGCACAGGGGTCTTTCCTGAAACTGACTCTACCTCCAGCCAAGGACCATGCATAGATATAACCTAGAACCCCTGCTCAGACGTAGCCCATGGCAGTTCAGCATCCAAGTGGGTACCTTAGTAAGGGGAACAGGGACTGTCTCTGACATGAACTTAGTGGCGGGCTCTTTGACCTCCTCCCCCTTGCCCAAGGGAGGAGTAGCTTTGCTAGGCCACAGAGGAGGACATTGCAGCCAGTCCTGATGAGACCTGATAAACTAGGGTCAGATGGAAGGGGAGGAGGACCTCCCCTACCAGTGGACTTAGAGAGGGGCAGGGAGGAGATGGAGGGAGGGAGGGAGGGAGGGAATGAAGGAGGAGGCTACAGCAGAGATACAAAGTAAATAACCTGTGATTAATATAAAAAATAAAAATTATAAAAAAGGATAAGAAACATGTAATGTATGTATGTGTATACACACACACACACACACACACACACACACATATATATATGGAGACCATATATATATATAGAGAGAGAGAGACCCACTCAGTTACATACTGAGGAATCCCATAAAAACACTAAAATGAAAACCATAATATATGTGCAAAGGATCTGTAGGGTAAAAAGAAAGAGAGAGAAACAAAATAAAAATAAGAAATACTCCCAACATGGTATGAAACAACTAACCTCCAAAGATGCCATGGAGTTCATTTTATGTTGGCCATCTACTACCAGGCATACAGTCTGCACTTCAGAGTAGTTTTCTTGATAATGAGACTCCCTTGGAGAAAACTACATTTTCATTTGCAAGTAGTTACGGCTTTTGGGTTAACAATTGGGACATGTGTCCACTTGGAAAGCTCTAGGACCCTAACTGGTGCAGACTCATGCAGGTCTTTTGTATGCTGTGTGTTCATATGTTCTGTTGATTTGAAAGGCCTTGTTTCCTTGGTCCTCTGTACTCTCCTCTACCCCAGGATTCCCTGAACTCTGAGGGGAGGGATTTGATGGAGGTATCTCATTTAGGGCTCTCACACTGTCTGTATATTGTCTGGCTGTGGGCCTCTGAATATGGATATAATGATGTTAGTTTCTTGGAGGAAGTAAAGGTGAAGGCAGTACTTAAGATTGAGTTGAGGGCTTCCTGCATGTCCAGCAAGGGCCTTACCACTGAACTGTATCCCCAGCCTCATGCTAATTTCTTTCTTTCTTTTTTTTTTTTAACTAATTTAATCTGTTTGGTCATTTGAGCACTTTCCTGTGTACCTGCTTGTTATTCTTATGTCTTATTTTATGAAATGTTTATTCATTCTTATCCTTACTGGAACTTGTTACTGGTATCTTATTTTGGGTATATAGAAATTTGAATGTATTCTGGGTATCTTTTCTTTGTCAGATAATCTTTTTGTAGCTAGGCTCTTCTGCAATTTAATAGTTAACTAAAAATATGTGTAAAAGTACTGATATGCTTAGTATTTCTGCACTTGGAACTTGAGTGAGGAAAATAAATAGTATTTAAAATGTAGATCATAATTTTAAATTTAAGATGAAAGTTACATTTTATTACTTTGCTGTTGGTTTTAGGTACAGTTAAAAACCAGCATTTGTAGTCAGTATGTAATTCGGATGCAACCAACAAACAGGTGCCTTTCTACTCTGGAATGTGCTGCCGCTGCTCTTTCCATCTTGGAGAAAAACCATTGTATACAGGAGGTATGTGGAAGTCATATAACTTGTAAATTTTTTTTAAGTCAAGAAACAAGTGTAGGATATTTCAGTAGATATTTATCTTCAGTAGATATTTATGAACCTTCAGAATCTTCTTCCCCTCTGGTATTTTAGCTGTGTTGGGTTAGCTTTCCAGATTGTACTATTTAAATATTCCCACTAAGCTTTGCAAACAGCATTTTTAATATGCTAACTTGCGTGTAAGTAGCACAGCATTCAATAGAGTTTTTTGGCTGGGTTTTTCCTTTACTATTTTCTACTTTTCCTAGTAGTTTGTATTCTCTGGTGATCAGCTGTTTTCCTTTTAATTAAAAGAACAGTTTACAGCCACATTACTTGTTTGCATTGGTGCCTTTATTTGGAGAGATCTGCTAACATTATGTTTACTTTATTGAACTTGCTTAGCGTATAAAATAGTCATATGAATAGAAATGTCCATGGAATATGAGAAGGATTAACCTATAATTAGCATTATATTCAATTCCCATGAAATTCTAATGATTACATACATAGCTAATAATTATCAGCAGAGAGTAACATTTCAGTGAACTTAGCAGTATCTCAACTTTTTGGGACATGTTAGAAACTTACCATTTATAGCAAAAGAAGAGTATAGTAAATAAATAATTTTAAGGTGGGTTATGAAAAATAAGTGAACTATTAATTTATTCTCAGGGCAAAAGAAGTCAGAGGATGACCGTAATAAGCAAGTGGAGTTGATAACTTCTCCAGCACACATGCTAACACAGGCGCGTGTATGCGCGCGTGCACACACACACACACACACACACACACACACACACACACACACACACGCATGCATGCACATATGTCACTCTTCCTGCCTCTTCTTTCTCTCATTGTAGAGTGTCATTACTATTATGAGACAAAGACTTCATCATGAATAAAATTTCAGTATTGAATAAATTGTAGTCTAGAATAGTTGGAAGTTACAGAGACATTAACCTTGAAAACAAAACATGACCAGAAAAGATTTTCAGAGGCAGAAGAGTCAAATGTGCTGGGAACCAGGATTGAGTGCTTTTCCCTCCCTGGGCCTGAGCTATGGAGAGTGAGAGTGAGGCATTCTTCTTTTGATGGAAATTGTGTTTCATGGTGAGGCGTCACTTGGATGTTTGCATAGAGTATTCCAGCTAAACAATTTCATTCCCACATATTGTCTTTGAGAAGAACACTTACAAGCAATCCTAGTTCTGTGCTTTGAATTCCCAGGTGCCCCACCCCTTTCTTCATTACCTGTCACCTTCTGTATCTGTGTAAGTTTATTTACATCTATTCATCTCTTTTCCTTCTTGATGAAACCAGAAACATTCATGGGTAACAAAAAGCTAATAGGTAACATTGATTCCTGCTAAATTAGATGTGATGGTTTATGATATGATATCGTAGAAATAAAAGAGGAATCCTACCATGACCACAGAAGACTTGGATAACTCGGGTCTTAAGTGTAATATCTGAGAATAAGCAATGGCTAAAATACAGAGTTGTGATGGGACCCCACATGTCCTGAGCTTTTGTTGCTCCTTATGGATGGATTGAACATAAACTTTCATAGTAACAGTGAGGGTCTAGAACCCTTTTTCTGCTTACTTCAGCCTTCAGAATTAATCAAATCACAGTGGCCAGGAGTAGAAAAACAGTGTCTGACAATCATACTCATGACTTGGGTGATTCTAATATAATTGTTGGGAGCATGAAGGAGAGATATATGTAATGAAACCTCAAGTTACTTAGTATAAAAAAAATTTCCTCCCAGTTTATAGCTGTTTTCTTGGCAAGTGAACGCTAAGGCCAATCTGTTAAAAATTAGTTACAAAAGAAGCAGAAGAAGTAGAAGCAAAAGAAGCAGAAAAAGAAGCAGAAGGAGGAGGAGGAGAAGAAGAAGAAAGGACACTTGTGGAATACAGTGTCTTCTATGACAAAGGGTGCATTACTTTCTTTTTTCAGGGAAAGCTCTGGTATATTTCTCCTAGAAAACCTTGAGATCATAGAAAACAGCAAAATATTGTGTGGCTTTCTTCCATAGACATCAGACTCCTAAGAATAAACACACTTGATGTAACATTGATTTTCATCCCCATCCTTTATACTGGAGCAATTCTCAAGCACAAGAAGTAGCAGGAAGTGAGAGGCTATCAGAGCGTGGCTCCCTGAAGGAGCACAGTACAGGCTTTGAAGTCAGTTTGAATTGCAACTTTACCACCTGTTGTCAGCATAGCCTGGTGGAGCAGATGGCATAATCTCTCTTTGTACTTGTTTTTCATTTTAAGCTTATATAAAACTGGTTACATAGCTTGGGGATGTAGCTCAGTAAAAGAGCACTTGCCTAATATGTTAAGTCTCCATTACTAAAAAAGAAATGTTACCTTAGTATTATATAAATTTGAGTGAGGTGTATTAATTGCTGTCATTGTCAGCACAAGCAACTTTGACTGTTGATGCCCCTCAGATTTGACTATGGTCAATACAAGTTTTAAACTATGCTTGATGAGTTTCGTTAGTCTACTACAGTATTTGCCAGGGGCCTTCAGCTTCAGGTTTATTTTGTTTTAAGGTCCTCCTTCGTTTGGGAAGTTTTTTTTTAACCTTACAGAATTTCAAAGAGAAGGGTAGCAATTTTTTAGCTGCATGTAAATTAAGGACATTAGGTCTGTGTAGCATCAGTGATTGTTAGGAATGGCTCCTTGAAAACTGTGACCACACACATGCAGATAAAAAGATTCCTATATTACTTACTTACCCAAGTATACAATTAGAAATGAACTTGTTTTATAAAGAGGATTGTCTCTCTTTTATAAAGAGGATGTACTCTCAGTCTGACAGTAGTCTTCATATAGAAGCACTATCATTTACTGAACATCAAGTAGTGGTTTAGCACTGTAATAGTTGGGGTTCAGTCATCACCTTGCTGTTTGTTATTAAAATAACTTTGTCAGGTGGACCTTATTTACTTACCTTAAAGCATATAACTAGTATATAATAGCATCGTCAGTAGGCTGCAGTATATTAAGATGGTGTAGGATGCCCATGCTTTATGCCCTTCCCTGTGATGCTTGTCTAGTGGGAGTGCTTGGAATGCATCTGCTTATACAGTTACTTAGGGACCCAGGTTTATGGAAAACTACCCCAAAGTCATTCTACTTTCATAAAGAAGAGACAAGAAAAATGGTCACTTTTAATGCTTGTACCCCAAAACAACACACAACGTTGGAGCTCATATTTCATTAACTAAGTTTACTTGATTTATGTTGCTGTGATAAATTACTCTGACCAAAAGCAAGTTAGAGAGAAAAGAAATTATTTTAACTTAAAGATTGTAGTCCATCATTGAGGGAAATCAGGAAACTCAAGTAGGAATTTGAACCAGAAACCATGGAGGAATGCTTCTTTGCTGGCTCACACCCAGGCTTAAGCTGAACAAGCTTGCTTATACATCCCAGCATCACCTGCCCAAAGAATGGTATCATCTAGAATGGCCTGGGCCCACCTACATCAATTAGCAATCAAGACAGCTCACCACAGACATACCTTCAGGGCATGTCTGATCTGGGCAATTCTTCAATTGTGACTCCTTTCTCAGATGATTCTAGGCTGTGTCAAGTTGACTAAACTAAGTAGGACAGTGACAGCGCTTAACTTCAAAAAAGAAAAAAAAATGTAAAGTGATGATTTACCAAGACAGATAACTTTATTATTAGTGACCACCACAGAGATGAAATGGGGATCTGGTCTAGATCTTTCTATTAAGTAAAGTTGATAGAATCTTATCTTTGGATGTCAAAGTTGGAGGTGTTTGGCCCTAAGAACATTAGCATTATTCTATCTATGGAAAGCCTAATAAATGTCAGAAGATGAAGAGACTTTTCAGTTGCTTCTGTCTGTCTATAGTCCTCTCTGTGTTTCCTAGAGACCTGTGGTATTTTATTATCCAGTCTGTACATTGGGTTAGCTATTCAGTAACATATGTATGTATGTATACATGTATGTATGTATGTATGTATGTATGTATGTATGTATGTATGTATGTATGTATATTTATGTATACATATCTATTTCCTGTCTTTCTTATGAAAAGAAATAATAAAAACGTACCTAATAATAAAAACATAAAAATATCAGACACCTCTGTACCCCTTAGTAGGGAACCCACTTGGAAACTGAGCAGCCCAATGGGCTTCCTTTGAACAGGGGGTCTAGGTCCTCTGCATGCATGGTCCTTAGTTGGAGTATTGGTCTCTACAGGCCCCCATGGGCCCAGGTATTTTGGCTGTGTTGTTCTCCTTGTGGAGCTCCAGTCCCCTCCAGGTCTTTCTACCTTCCTCTTCTTCTGTAAGGATTCTGGCACTCTGCCCAAAGTTTGGCTATAAGTCTCAGTATCTCCTTCGATACCCTGATGGTGTTTATGTGTGCATGAGCATGTGCACCTGTACCTGTGTAAGTGTGCATATATGTGTTTGTATGTGTTTAGGGAGAGAAGGGACAAAAGGGCTTTTCAGGGCTAGAGAGATGGCTCAGTGGGTAAAGCACTTCCCATACTAGCATGAGGAAAAAGTTCAGGAATCCCTGGGACTCACAGTGAGAGTCAAGATCTTAAAGATCAAAGTTAGGGGGCCAGGCACGGTGGCACATACCTGTAATCCCAGCATTTAGGAGGCAGAGGCATGAGGATCTCTGAGTCTGAGGCCAGCGTGGTCTACACAGCAAGTTCCAGGGTAGTGAAGGTTACATGGAGAGACCCTGTCTTAAAAACTTAAAATCAAGGTGAGCACCAAGGTTCTTTGATCACCTCTCCCTGGTGGGTGTTGCCTTGCCAGGCCACAGAAGAAGAAGATGCAGCCAGCCCTGATGAGACCTAATGAATTAAGGTCAGATAGAAGGGGAGGAGGACCTCCCATATCAGGGGACTAGGGAAAGAGCAAGGGGGTAGAAGAGGGAGGGTGGATGGGACTGGGAGTAGATGAAAGAGGGGGCTACAGCAGGGAAACAAAGTGAGTAAATTGTAATAAATAAATATATAATAAAATTAAATAAACATTCCTAGTGTTATTTCTACAATAATGAAACATATCTAATGGGCTTTCTACAATAATGTTGTGTAGACGTTTCCAAAATATTTGTCTTTTTTTTATTGGTCTATATCAAATAAGGCTATGTGTGACAGTGCATAAAACAGAGCCAGTGATTAAATCAATTTTTCTAAACTTCCTCTATAAATATAACACTTTGACGTAGGCAGTCCTGAGTTAGGAATGCAGCTTGGAAAGGACATCAAAAACCCAAGTTTGGGGGCTGGAGAGATGATTCAGCAGTTAAGAGCACTGGATATTCTCCCAGAGGATCCAGCTTTAATTCCCAGTACCCACACTACAGCTCCTAACTGTCTGGACCTTCTATCCGAGAGGATCTAATGACATCTTGTCCTGTGGGCACTGAATGCATGCGGTACATATATATACATGTAGATAAAATACCCAGACATGTAAATAAATACAAATAATACATTATTCCTATCTGTACATCATCCTGTGTGTTTGGTTTAATCTTTATGATTATTGCCAACTGAGCATGATAGTTGTCCCATTTCTAACAATTACGTTCTTGACAGAAAAGGGGGCCAAAAAAACCCTATTCTACCTAAATCTGTTGGCTTTGAGCACCTCTAAAAGCCCTATTACAAGGGCTTTCTTTACCTCTGATCACTCATTGTTTTATCAATAGATGGGCCCAGTGCCTTCATGAATACAATTTGGGTTCATTAATAAGGATAAAAATAATGGGTAGGGAGAAACAATTTCTAGAGACTGCCATAGTGTTTAACACTTTGTTGTCAAGCAAAGACCCTTCTACCATGTATTTTGTATACGTAGAGGAATAAATTTTCACACAAGACACTAGGAAGTTTTCTATAATCTTTTTCTTTTTAAAAATCATTCTTTAATGGTCTTTTCAACCAAAACCTTTGCTATGTTATTTAAATAGTTTTGATAAGAAGCCTTACATCCAATCTGACCCAAAAATATGTTTAGAATATTATATAGTTTTGTTTTAGCTTTTGATCCTGAGTAACCTTATACAGAGCATATGTTCCGGTTGTATGACAGTCTTCACCACCTCTGTTAACGTAAATGTGCATCCGGGTAACATATCACTGTTACGTGCTTGGCTTTGCGGGTATTTGACTTGAGGCAGGCTGTAAGTTTACAGTATTTCAAATGTCTCCTCTGCCTTCCATGGACCACTGTGAGGAAGACTTTGTTGCAAATGTGGAATTGTTTGTGTAAGTGAGGTACACTAACTTGTAACTGAAACTCAATTAATTTGATGTGCCAGTATTTGGATCTAATATTTCCTTTAATTATATTACTAATAGATTAAATTATTATAATGAATTTTTGTGTTATTTAAATAAATTAGTGTATAAAACTTAATTCAGACTGTATTGCCTGTATGGAAAATCAATATAAATCCTTTTATTAGAATATGTGAGTTTAGAAATAACTATGAAGTGTTAGAATAGTCATTGCTCTTCACAGTTAAGGGCACTAGTAAAATCAGGGCACATAAGTGTCTATATTTAAAAGAAAGATGTAAATAGAATACAAGTGGCCACACACTTTTAGTATCTTTTTTTCTCAACAGACTCTGCTTCGCCCTCTTCAAGCGCTGTGTTCTTTCCAGCTTCAGCATGGTGCTCAGATTCGCCTCAGCAAGGAATATCTTCTGAAAAATGGATTATATCCCAAGCCAATGCCAAAGAACAAACGCAAACTCAGGAAGATTGAACTGTTAATGAACAGCGTCAAAATTTAGCACAGTTGTCCCCGTGGTGCTCTTTTATCTGTCTTCTGCTGACAAGACTGTGTTATGTCTTCCCACAGTTTACGCTTGAGGGCTTTGACTCTGAAGATGGAACACTGGCAGGTTCTTTGCTGAACGGTGCTGTCTGCTCAACAGCACCATAAGGCAGACTTCCACTGACTGTGAAATTCCTTTCTATTTTTGTTTTCTCAAGACAAGGCTACTCTGTATAGCCTGTAGACCAGGCTGGCCTCGAATTCAGAGATCCTCCTGCCTCTGCCTCCCAAGTGCTGGGATTACAGGCGTGTGCCACCCTCATCCAACTACTGTATTTGTTTTAAAATATGTGCTTTTGATGCATTTTTAAAAGTTGTATTCAAAATATGATTAGTTATATTAGTCTAGAGTAAGGACTTGTTTATAAAATGAAGAAATTGTACCTGGGAACATGTTTCCATCAGTGTTTGTGGATTCTGAGGTATAGATCAGTGATGGGATATATCCTATGAAACTAATGTTTCAGCCTTGTAAATGAACTTCAGAGTGTGAAATCAATGACAAAAGAGGGTTATATATCTTGTTAAATAGTATAAAGGAACAAGGAAACTTTACTGTTTAGGGATGAACTTGGACTCAGTGGATGTGATTTACATCTTCTCTTCTGAATTCCTATGGAGTGCATTTAATTTTGAAATAGCCTACATTCTCATTGGGAGTTGCTTTGCCTAAGTTTCAGTTTTTCAGTGTTCATTGAACAAGTTAACTGGCAGAAGAGGTTTTTGATGAAGTTTCTATATGGAAATGACAGAAGTAAAGTATAATACAGCTATCATTTTAGAATGTATTTCTGTAAGTAGCTCCACTTAAAATTTTTTTTAAGAGAAAAAAACTTTCAAAATGAAAGATCAAATTTTCTCACCGTATTAGAATATTTACTGATATTTTATAAAGAAATAAGAGAAATATACACTCTATATTTATATCCAGTTTACAGATAAGCAGACACTTTGGCAAGATCAAGGTGTTTCATTTTGACCTTTGTTCATGATTACTGGAGTTTCCTGAATCCAGTATTAGGTTAGAAGGAAAAACCAAGCCTGCCTTTTAGTGGTGATTTTGCTAAGTATCTTTATGTGATATGAACATACACCAGTTTCTGATGAATTTTATGTTCATTTGTTTATTATTGGCCCAAATTAGACACTCATTAAAAGCTTGGCTGGCCCCAATTAGAATGCTAACTGTGAAAATTATGTAAAAATATTAAAAATCTAAATTTGTCTCCAATTGCTTATTTTTGCATTTAAAAACAAGTTGGTCTTTTATAACCTAAATGCCTCATATCAATTGCTTATTTGTATAATAATGAAAAAATAATATTATGCATAATGATTTCTTAAGAAATGAGTTAAATAATCCAGTAATTTTTTATGTTGGAATTAAACTTCACAAAATCCTTTGAGTGTTATGATTGCTCTTTAAGAAAAATCTGACAAATGAAACCATTTATATTTCCATGCATCAATTTGTGTGTAACATTTAGAATAACTTATGATTTAAATATACTGAATATTTAAATTTTTAAAGTTTATTACTTTGGCTATATCTATCTATATATATATTTTTTAAAAGAAGATATATCGAGATAGAAGAAAGATGGCAGATTTGAGACACTTGGCAATTTGTTTCATATGTGAATCCAAAACTGCATCAGATACATAGCTATCGGGAGTAGTGAGTGGCATGGAAAGTCAGGAGTGCAGCAGTAAACAGAGATGAGGCAAATCCAGAAAATGGAACTTTAGGTTTGTAGAAGAAATTGGAGCCTAAGTTAGTATGCCATTGAAGCTTCAAATAAAAACAAAGGAGTGCCTTACTGAGCTCCACAGATGCTGAAATGGCATTTTTTAAAAATGCAGTTTAAGGGGTGTGCAGCCTACATCTGCACAGCAGAATGGGAGAAGAGCCCACCTCCCCCTTAGTGTGCACACTGGTACTGTGGGATCATCTTAGGCAAAGTCTTATGTCAGACCGTTTGTCCAATAAAGAAGAAACCTCTGTTTTCTTTTATCCTCAAGCTCCAAAGGCCTCCTGGTTGAGTGAGTGACCACTATGAGGATCAGCTTAATCCCAGGAAGCTACTGTAACTTGGACATAGGTTCATGAACCATTAGTACAGTACCATTTGCTGGCCATGTTTCAAGGAAAGTGAAAGATGATTACATTAGGAAAGGCAGCCTGACTTTGAGAAGAAAAATTACCTGGGTGTGGATATGAGTAGGGAAGGAGAGAGACTGCTTTGTCTAGGGCTTGCAGGATTGTTAGTTTCTTTTTGTCGCTGCAGGCACATACTCTTTTTCTAAATTCTTGATTTTTTTTGATAGAGTAATTTAAACTCAGTGAGAATCAAGAGACAATTCGTTAGGGTTAGAGAAAGCAGTAAGATGGAGATCTTGACAGTTGATGGAGGAGGAAGATGGCAAGGGGAGGAGGATAGAAAGTTAAGTTTCTATACATTCACCAAGATGAAGTCAGCGAATCAGCTTCATCTCAGAAATGCAGGGATAGCTCAACATTTGTGAATCAGTAAGTATAATTCACTACATAAATAGACCGAAGGATAGGAACCATATGATCGATCATCTCATTACATGGGAAGAAGCCTTCAAAAAAATCTAAAAATCTCATTATGGTACATGTCCTGGAGAATCTAGGGATACAAGGGTCATATTTCAACATAATGAAGGCCGCCTACTAGACAGCACAGGATAACAAGTGCAGTGCCAGGAATGGGTAACTAGTTTTGGAGTTGACCTGTGAGGGCTCAGAGATCTCCAAACATTACATCCCAGTGCTCTTGGCTAAACTCCAGAATTTGATGTTGCAACCTTATTGCTCAACACCGTATACTTGAATCATACAAAATGGAAAGACCAAGCTGCTATTGACATGGAAGTTTCATTCCTACTGGACAATCTGTGGGACTCAGATCTCTCCTGAAGTGAGAAGTGCCTCTACATGCTGAGCCATCTCACTGGCCCTCAGCTAAAAGTTTTAGTGAATTTGTAGAGCTGTTATTAATGATATTTTATTCTTAATTATGTTATTTTTAAGATAAGAAAACCATACAATAGGGAATCTAATTAAGAAAAACAAACAAAAAACAGAGCTGCCTTGCGGGAGAGGACAAAGCTGCTTCCAGAAGCCATAGCATATTAATGAAAATACCACTGCCAATATGGAGCTACCTTCCTATGAGCTGGCCAGAGCGGCCTCTATGGTTCCCCCACCCCCAAAAAATAGAGTGATTGCTACTGCTGTTGGTTGTCCAGTAGAACTGGATGGTAAGACTCAACTGCTGGTGTTTTAGACATTCTGGCTGCAGGACCCAGAGAAATCAAGTTGGAACTAGTCTGGAATTTTCCTCCTAACAGCCAACCCTTACAGTGCCAGAAGGGACTTGGTGTACTGCTGAGAGAGAACTGTCTTAGGTTGTATGCTATGATACTGACCAGCCAGACAAAACATGCCCATGAATGCAACAGTGACAAATCTATTACGGGAGTAACCAACCATTTTCTGACTGCAATTAAGGCCTACTCCACAGGAAAGAACTGCCTGCGGCTGGAGAGGTCCTAGGCCCTTGGCGAGAAGCTATAGCTTCCGGTCCCCTAAGTGGACATGCTTTCATCACATGACCTTCCTACGACCACAGATTATTAGTCAGCTTTGTCAGAGGAGCTTCCTTTTTAAGTAAATGACAGTGACTGCAGACACTTAACTGGTCAAACTGCTAATTATAAGTGACAGTTTAATGTTCTACCACATGTGGGACATCTATACCAGTCCTTTCAAAGCTCAGAGAACACTAAGGAATAAGAGATTAAAAGAATGCAAGAGCCAGAGAAAGGACACAATGTGAAATGCTGAATTCTAGTCATACACAGAAATTCCTATCCAACTACAATGCTAACCCAAAAAACACTGAGGTTAAATATATTCTCCTTGGTTGGCCTGAAAAGGTAGAATGCTTTTTCATGCCCCAAGGCCCATGTCACCTGAAAAGAAGAGTAATCTGGGATCTGGAGTGGGGTTGTGCAAATGTACATGTTAAGGTCAGAAATTAATACTAGGTCTCAATCATGTTCTATCTGCTTTTTTAAAGAAGTCTCACAGGACCCAAAGTTTACCAATTCTGCTAGAATATCTAGCCAACCAGCAACAAGGATCATCTCTCCACTTCCTCTAACCAGTTCTGGAATTACAGGTATATATAGCATCATGTTCATCTGTTGTCTTTTCCTCATTTTTTATCAGCTCTTTAAGAGTTTTGTACAATGTATTCATCATATAAGCCTCCCTCCCTCAACTCCTCCGAGATCTACCCCTCTTCATTGCTCACTTAACATTTTGTAATTTCAAAAAATCCATTGAGCGCAATGTATGCTGCCTGTATACTTGTGAAAACATGGTCACCCACTGGAGTGTGGTAGACTTGACAGGAGCTACACAAAGAAAACTGAATTTGCATCTCCTAGAAGCTACCAACTGCTAAGAGCCTCTTAGTTAGGGGTAAGACTTCATGCCCATCTTCCCTCTCTATGCTGGGATATGTTCTGGCTTCAGCTTCCACAAGCTTTATGCATACTGTCAAAACCACTGCAGGTTCCTATGTTCAACCACCATGATGTATTTGGAAAACACTGTCATCTACCATCTCTGGCTCTTACAATCTTTCTGACTCCTTTCTACAATGAACTCCAAGCCTTGGAAGGAGGCTGTGTGATACAGATGTGGCATTTAAGGGTGGGATTCTGCAGTCTCATATTCTCTGCACCTTGATCAGTTGTGGTTATGTCAACCATTATCTACTGGGAAAAGTAGTTTTTCTGATAATATTTAAGAGGTACATTAATCTATGGATATAAAGGCAAGTTTTTAGGATTAAATTTAATGCTGTTTATTTAGTAGAATAATAGGAGTAGGTACTAGCCTAGGGCTTTTCTAGCCACAGATTCTTGGCCTCAATAATGCTGACAGGTATGAGTTTCCTCTTACGGAATGGATTTTAGATCCAATCAGAAAGTGGTTAGTTATTCCACTGATGTTCAACCCACTATCACATCAGTGGGCATGTCTTGCCAGGCCAGAATCACTGTAGCTCACATGGTTCACAGATGGATGAAACTAATGATTACTTTTCTCCTCCAGTGGTATGCACAGCATCTTCTGGCACTATGAAAGCTAGCAGTAGGTACAGTTCAACATGGGGACTTATTTATTAAGTGTGGTTAATATTAAAGTGAATGACTTTTTTTTTTTTTTTTAAAGAACCATGTGACCATGTGACATGCTGTGGTCACAGAATAATTTCCAAGAAGGGCCCAGTGAGGTGGCAGTTCTCTCATTCCATAGTGTGGACCAGAAGACTCAGATTCAAGTCACCAGACATGGTAGCATGTACTTTACTCCCTGAGCCACCTCACTGGCCCCTTCTTGGAAGAATGAAAAATGGTTTAAAGTGAACTAGTAAAAAAGAAATCTTTGTGTATAAATAAACTATATGCAAATAATGGCAAAAACATTTCTAAAAAATATAAATGTAGCTAGGCATTGAAAATAGTATGATATTAACTAACACCAGACAATGTAAAAGTCTCAAGCAATCCCTCTAGTTTCTGGGCATAATGCTGTAGGCATTAACGACATATGGCTATGTCAACTTACTTAGAAGTCAGTTTAATAATAAATAAGTCCCCATGTTGAACTGTACCTATTTTATCCAATCCTCAGCCATATATGGCCACTGACCACACACACACACACACACACACACACACACACACACACGCACACACACACAATTTCTGAAGCCAGAAGAACTTCCCTAGAGTAGCCACTAAAAGCCAATAATTAAAGAAGATATTAAGGAAAAATCAACAGAGGAAATGTTGAAAAACAAAGTACCTAGGGAATCAAGGAAAGTAGGTGAAAATACAGATAATAAAAAAGCAAATAAGGAGATTAAAATCAAGCACCATAAAATCTTGTCACCATAATCAAGTACTGGAGAGAGCAACTTAAAGGAGACGAAGGGGGATTTAGTTTGGCTCATGGCCTCAGAAAGTTGAAGCTGTGGTTGTGTGGTTCCCAAAATTATGCAGATATATCATGGCAGCAGAAGTGTGTATTGGAGGTTGTAAATTCAATTCTTGCCAGAATAAAAGGACTACAGAACAGGCCAAGGTAAGATAGATCTCCCAGGGTAATGCTGTAAGTGACGTTTCCTGCAACTGGGCTCCATTTTGACTTTTACCACCTTCCAGTAATGCTATAGTATTATGAACTTATTAAATGCAGTGTGACGCTATTCCACA